TTGCTCTTCCTCGATGACTTCATCATCATTGCCACCTCCTTTCTTGTTCTTTGGTTTTCTCACCCTTGTCTTTGTGATCCACATACGAACTAAGGTGGTCTTGAAGCCTCTGAATCTTTTCGCTAGTAAAGATTCAAACACCCTTCGCTTGGTGGCATCATTAGGAATGTTAAACACACTCTGCAAGCATAAATAAAAGCTATTATTAGTTTCCCCTTTTAAATAACAATAAAGTGAAGGTAATTATAATTGTGTGCAAACAAAACACTTGCCCTTGTATCATTCCAAAATGTGTCAATCAAGCCCGGAGATACTTCCCGCCAGCCAAGAGTAATGGGGATTTTGCGCGCACAGATGCAAATGTGAACAAAATATTGACGACGCCATTTGCTTGTAGCTAGGTCTACCTTGTCATACTCCAAGGCCATGGGACCGACGGGTTTCTTGAAACTTGTCGTCGGACCCCTCGCCTTTTTCTTAGCCGGTGCCTTCACCTCTCCTCCACTTTGTCCTTGGCATTGAGTGTGGGAAGTAGGATTCTCACCAACCGTCTTAGAAACTGCATTGTCGATAGGAGGCGCTTGTTCAGCTGAAATCTCAAAGTCATCAACCTTAAGCTCCAACTCATCCTGAGCCTGATCTTCTGCCTCACCCAAATCAAGCTCCTTGTTCACATCATACAGCTCGTCATCATCCTCAGAGAAATCATCATCATCATCCTCTACATCCTCGACACAAATACGGTCCTGATCATCCGCCATGAGATGTAAACACCTGCCATTATAAACATAACACGTTATTAGTTGTAATATAGATAAATTTGTAAGGTAAAGTTATAATCAATTATAAATTTTTGAATTATAATACAAATCAACATACAAAATGGGCAAGTGTAGGTCGTTTTTATTTCATGTTTCAAATGTTTTAAACGTTACTTCATTCATTTAAAAGAAAATGTGAAAAATGGGCAAGTAAGTTAACATTTTCATTCATTTTCACCTAACCTGTGATTTAATAATATTTTCAACGCCTAGAATTTCAAAATTGCTGAAAAATATTACCTCAATCCAATATTCCTTCGTTATTGTCTTATTGCATAAAATTGGCTTGGTCGTCTATGTAATTTGTTACAACAGGTCTAGGAATAGTGAAAGATGCCGAGTCATCAAACGCATCATATTCTTCCTCATCCTCCACATCTCCAATGGCCAGGATTCTTCTTTTGCCAGCTAACACAATAGACCATTTTGAATCGGCTGGGTTAGTTACGTAAAACACTTGCTTAGCTTGAGATGCAAGGATGATTGGTTCCGCACTATCATTCAGATGGCCAAAATATACAAGAGTAATGTCATCATATTTGACGTTACGCATGATATTATCAACCCACTTACACTGGAAAAGAGCAATCGTGAAGTTAAAATAATCAAGCTCCCATATTTCTTGAATTCAACCATAGTATGACAAATCTGCATCAACGGGTGAATTATCCATAGCACTTGCAAACTCCCTTGACGAAGCCACAAGCGTTACACCACTGTTTTGGGTCAAGGAAGAGTTCAAATCTTGACGCTTAGTCCAAAAAGTGTACCCATTTATGTCATATCCCTCAAATGAGCAAACATAATCCCTAGGACCATAAGAAAGCCACCTTATTGTATCAGTGACACTCTCATCCATTCTACCCATCGCTCGATCACGAAACCAACTCACAAACCTCTTATTATGCAACTGCATCAATGCCCTTTCACCTTTCGATGGGAATTCATCAGCAAACTAGCCATGTGCTCATCTAGGTATGGGTGAACATCTGCAACATGATGCAACACATATAGGTGTGCTTGTAAGAACTTATCTCGGTTAGGTGACATTAATTTCGACCCGATTGTGCCCTGATCATCAAGTCTCCCTTCATGTCGAGAAGTAGAAAGACCAATAGGTTCAGCAACAGCTATATAGCCGGCCACAAAATTACCAATCTTTTCACCCACGATCCCTTGAATTATACTTCCTTCCGGGTGAGCCCAATTCCTTACCTTATCTTTCAATGTACCCATGTTTATTTCAAAAGGATAGCACCACCTCATGAACACTGGACCGCACAACTTAATCTCACGCACCAAATGAAGAAAAAGATGCACCATTACGTCAAAAAATGAGGGTGGGAAGTACATCTCAAATTTGCACAAAGTCACAACCACATCCACCTGCAAAGCATCAAGTGTACAAGGATCAAGCACTTTGCTGCATATTGTATTAAAAAATGAACAGAGGATTGTAATAGCTTCCCTCATGTGCTTTGGTAAAATACCACGTGTTGCAATTGGTAAGAATACTTACATAAGAACATGACAATCATGGGATTTCATACTTGTTAGCTTCAATTCTCCATTTAAGGATACAAATCTTTTCATGTTAGATGCGTACCCTGATGGAACCTTAATGTCGTACAGACATGCACAAAACATTCGTTTTTCTACCCTTGACAATGTGTAGCAAGCTGGAGGTAAATAAGCCTTGTCATCCTTGACTTTTCCCTCATATTTCTTCTTTGACGCATCCGTGGCCTTTCCCTTTCCCTTGCTCTTCCCCTTTCCTTTGTTCGAACTTATTTCATTTTCCGTTTCCTGTTCCTTTCCCTTTCTGAGCTTTTCCTAAGCCCACAATTCTGGACGAACCCCATCTTTTTCAAATCTAACAGAGCACCCTTACCATCCTTTGTTTTGCCTTGAATATTCATCAGCGTTCCCACAAGAGCATCACACACATTCTTCTTTATATGCATTACATCAAGACAATGCCTAACATCATGTTCTTTCCAGTACTGAAGCTTCCAAAAGATTGATTCTTTTTTAAAGAGAGTAGTTGAGTCCGCAGCTTTTTCTGTTTTCCCAAATACTATTCGTATACCCTTAACTCGAGCATAAACCTCCTCACCAGTCAACGGCATAGGCGCAGTCCCTTCTTCCACTGTCCCATCGAAAGCCATTTTCTGCCTACGGTACAGGTGATCGTGCCTGAGCAACCTTCTGGTCCGCACGTACACCTCTTTGTGAGAATGATCAAGGCGAATGCTTGGTGTGTCTTTAATACAAATGGGGCATGCTTTTTTTCCTTTGTTCTTGTACCCAGACAAGTTGCTATATGCAGGAAAATCATTAACGGTCCACATAAGAGTTGTACGCAATGTGAACATCTCATTCTTATGAGCATAAAAAACGGGAACCTCTTCGTCCCACATCTTTCTCAAATCCTCAACAAGTGGCGCAAGATAAACATCTATGTCGTTTCTAGGTTGCCTTGGCCCCGTTATCAAAATTGAAAGCATTACGTATTTCCGTTTCATGCACAACCAAGGAGGAAAATTGTAGATCACTAAAAGTACCGGCCATGTGCTGTGTTGGGTACTAAGAGTGCCAAATGGATTCATCCCGTCCGTGCACAACCCAAGCCTTAAATTTCTGAATTCATCGCCAAATTCCCCAAACTTCATGTCAATGTTCTTCCATTGCGGGGAGTTGGCTAGATGCTTCAGCATTCTGTTCTTCTTTCTTCCCTCTGCATGCCACCTCAAGTTTTTAGCGTCTTTTGGTGTTCAGAATAGACGCTTAAACCTTGGAATAATGGGAAGATACCTCAACACCCTAGCAGGAGGTCCCTTCGTACCAACATTGCAACTCATGCGCTTGTAGCGCGGCTTCTTGCATCGTGAACACTCCTCCAATTGTTCATATTCATTTCGATAAAGAATACAATCATTACAACATGCATGTATCTTCTGATACTCTAAACCAAATGGACACATGAGCTTCTTTGCGTAATAGTAAGACTTAGGAATTTCATTCCCGTCAAGTAACATCTCACTTAACGCGGTCAACAAAGAAGTAAAGCTATTGTCTGTCCACCCATGCTTCGACTTCATATTAAAAAGTGTTAGCACGACTGATAGTTTGGAGTAATTTTTGGACCCTGGATACAAAGGCTTTTTATAAGCCTCCGATAATGACTCAAACACGTCACATTTAACACCACGCATCATCTCATCCACCCCTTCATCCTCGACCTTATCCACCTGATCATCCTCAAATCCACCCTCAATACCATTATCAATAATATGTTCATCATTCCAGTATTCCTCGTCCACACGAATCTCATTGCTTCTATCATGCACATCATTCCCATCAACATCCCCACTGTACTCTCCTTCTTCATCATGCCAAATCCACACATGGTATTTAAGCCTAAACCCATGACAAATTACATGATCTCTAATGATTTCAATATTATTGACCACCTTCACATTATTACAATCAACACAAGGACAGTAAAGCCAATCGACACCCACTCTGCACTGATAAGATGAAGCCCTCTCGCAAAACTCTTGAACCCCATAAAAGAATCCCAATATATCACGTCTACCATACATCCAGCCACGATCCTTCTCCATTAAGTAAATTGTCTCAAAACATAGCAACATGTTACGAATAATGTATAATTGCTACATCTATTATATATGTAAATCAAAATCAAACACACACCATGCATATAACATTCATAAAGATTAAAAAATGCATATATGCTTTTAAAGGGTCCTTATCACTCCAACCTAACCCATCCTTGAATGTTTAATCTCACAAGTGAATGTATGTCGACTTTCCAATTTTAAGGAAAATCTGGCAGCATTTCCCCCCAGTTCTCCAAGTACACGATGTAGGTAATTACTTACCCACATATGTACCCAGAGAACAGGGTGAGGAAATGCTATGCCAAGATGTTCCTTAAAATCGAAAAAAAAGACATACATTCACCACCTAAGTGAGAGTAAACGTTCAAGAACAGTCCCAACCGGGGACTATTCAAGACTTTCTCCTAATGAGAAAGCCTTGAACGGGTATCTAGGCATATGATGATGCAAGCATTTCAAATAGCATTTTTATTAAGAGTGATTTAACCAAAAAATAATTGTCAAATAGCATAAAGTTACATGATTTTCTATTCACATCCATTCATAATCTCAATAAAGGAACAATGAAAATAATAAGCAAGGTACCTTGATCTCTGCACCGTCACAACACCCTTACTTCAAAAAACAAATGCAAATTGAGACACTGTACAAAAAATATACTAAATAAGACAACTAAATTGAACCATTTAGGAAATTTATAAGAAATTGGAAAATGATAATATTGTTTTCCCTCTCCACCTACTAGGATAGCAACCACCAAGATTTGTCCCATAACCCTCCCCAACATACCATCACCACCTACAACAAATATAGTCTTTGAACATATAACAACATAGATAACAACAATACTAAAGAATCAGTTTCAGAAGCAGTATTGAGATACCAACATTTTATTCTTGCAATTTTATCAGTCTATATGACTTAGAATGCAGCATCTCATCATTCATATAGTTTCACATGACACATTCTCCACTTAAGTTTACACAAAAGGATTTACTTACATGAAAATAGTACTATCAGAAAAATCGAACATGAACTAATGTGAAATTTCACGAGAACAAATGAAAGCTCAAGCGGGGCTTCATCCAACTGTCAAATATCAAAATCCCCTATCACAGTTTTTACCTATTGGGTACTAGAACTGTTATATCAAAGTTGTTGCTTGATTAATGTATGAGTGAAAATAAATTTATAGTTTCATACCAACTTCAATGTATTCCCTGGATGATGAATTATTCTATTTTTTTATCACAACCTTCTTCACAATACTAACAGAAACATGCAGGCATAGTAGAATGGACAGGAGGACCATCATGAGTATATAAATTATATGTATCTTTAGTGATATCCTATGCTAAGACTATGTACACACAAATACATGTAACAACAATACTAAAGATAGAGCTAATTAGACCAAACATCCAACTCAACCAATAGAAAAAACAATGACAAGCCCTAGATTACCAGAACCCTAATATTACAAAATTGAAAACCAAATCAACGACAAACCCTAGGTTGCGAAGGAATTCGGTAGATTAAAAAGACCACAAGGGCCCAAATCTTATCTTGAAGCTGCTTCAATGGAGATGAGAAAACTCAAAATGCACTTCAATGGAGAATAGAGAGCACGAGTTCAATGGAGGACAGATATGGAGGGAGAAGGAGGTGCATGCAGCTGCTTCAATGGAGTGAGAAAGCTAAAAAACGGCTTCAATGGAAAGGGTGGGAATTCGGAGGTGGTGGCCTGGAAGAAAAGGTGAGAACGAGGGAAAAATGAAGTTGAAAAAATAGGGGGAAAGAAAATAAGAAGAAGAAATACGAGAACAACCCGGGTTTTTTTTTTTAATGCGCACCGGTTTGAACCAGTGCTAAATTCACTATTTCGCACCGGTTTGGATTAAACCGGTGCCAAATCCCTTTCTCCCCCCTTTTTTATCTCTTTTTTAATTGGCACCGATTTGAACCGGTGCGAAAAGGATAAATCCCCACCAGTTTGATAGGAACCGGTGCCAAAAGTCTGTATTTCCAATCCCAACCATTTCTTTCCCACCGGTTTTCAAAAACTGGAGCCAAAAGTGCGATGCCAATTCCCTTTTTTCTATTAGTGTATCTTGCTTGCTTCACTCAACTCGAGCTATGATGCACTTAAAGTGCATATAGCTACAAGAAAGAAGACACGCTCTATAAGAGAGGTGGTGCAATTGCTTAGCTGAGCCACCTCCTATGGATCGACCGAAAGGCCCTTGAGAGCAAGTTAGAGGGAATTCAAGAACAAGGCGAAGATACGATGCTTCTATTGTGGTGGGCAAGGCCACTATAAGAGGGAATACAAGCTCTTCCGAAAGGATGAGGAGGAGAGGAATGTGGGATCTGCCACAGGTATCTTCATTTACACTTGTGTATAAAGCTATTCATAGGTATTGGATACCATGTGTAACTCACTTTATGTTTCCTTTTAAAGAACCAAGTGAGAGGGCTTCACAAGTGGATGTGCAACTACAAGCGGACGACAAAGATGGTCTTTCGATCGTGCTTGTAGGCACCTTTATTTTGTCTATGGCTTGTAATTAAACAATGGTTGTTTCTCATGCTTTTAAACATACTTTTGATCTATGGTGTTGGACACCGGATGATTTTGATCACAAGACTTAATCCATGGTTGGTTTGTGAAATGTCTAGTTTATATGTTCTATAAAATTGCATGTTTTACATATGTTTAGACAAATTAATGATACCGCTAAAAGAGCTAAGACCATTGAGTCGAATCAAACCTACTTTTGGCATTGTCGTCATGGCCACATTAAAACAAAACGCATCAAGAAACTTGTTCAAGAAGCTGTTCTTTACTCATTCCACTTAGAGTCGTTTAAAAATTGCGAAGGATGTCTATTAGGCAAGATGATAAAACAACCACTCTCCAAGTTAGGAGAAAGGGCAAGTGACTCATTGGGTCTAATACATACGGATGTATGTTGACCAATGAGTACACCCGCAAGGCATGGTTATAGATATTTCATTACCTTCACGGACGACTATAGTAGATATGGTTATGTCTACCTTATGTCGAACAAATATGAATCTTTTGAGAAATTCAAAGAGTTTCAGAGTGAAGTTGAAAATTAGCTTGGCAAGAAAATCAAAGCATTCGATCGGATCGAGATGGCGAGTATTTGAGCCATGAATTCGACGATCACTTGAAAGAAAATGGTATTCTTTTAGAGTTGACACCTCCCGGAACTCCACAATGGATGAGAGTGTCAGAATGGAGGAATCGAACCTTGTTAAACATGGTTCAATCAATGATGGGTCTTAGTATGAAAGAAATTGTATCCTTCCAACAAGTGTATTATTCTGATAGAGGATTAAGAATTATTACAGAGCTAATTCTTCAGTAAGGTCAAGTGATCGGAATGCCTTGGTGGAGGTCGCTTCCGATTAGTAATATTAAGGTATAATTAATATTACAGCTCAATCTTAACTGAACCCTTCGGGTCGAACCCAATCGAATAACCGATCCGAGACGACGAATTAATCCAAAGGATTTAATAAGTCGACGGAGTTTTACAAATACAGACGTCGGATATCGAGCCTAGGGCGTCGAGACCGAGCGTCGCAAAATCACAAGCGACAAGTATGAGCGTAGCCATAGCGTCGCTGATAGGCTTATCGCGTACCTAACAAAAATAACCTAACTATTCCTTCTAACTGTGTAGTAGGGCAAGTAAGGATCGAATCCCAAGAGACTATGGTTCATTCAATTAATCAGACTCAATTAATCACTAAGCACGTCACCAATCAATAATGGATGATAGTAATCAACTAATATATTAAATAACACAATTAACTAGAGGAAATATTAATCAATAAACTAAAGCATCCAAGATCAAGCATTACCACGATTATGATTGATAAACTAATAAATCTACCCCCAATATATAAATCAATTGACAAGAAGAAAAGCAATCCCTAATAATAATACCAAAGGTCTCTTCCAAGTTATCAATGGCTTCCCAAATTAACTATCAAGCCTACTTCCGTGGAATCAAGCGAATAAGGGACATTAAACACCATGCCTAGATTCCTAATTATTCAATCATCTACTTCCGTGATGATCTTCAAACCCTTAATTGGAATAACCTAATCCCGTTAATACCCAACTTCCGTTGCAATAAGAACAAAGGGATGATAACAATACTAATTATTCCTAATCTAGTATTGGCATAAACACAATCAATTAAGCATGTCAATTGGGATTATTATTGGGGAATTTAAAGATCTACTTTATACATCAATCATAATCGGGCTTAGCAAGATCCCGGATTAAGGAAACTACTCACACATCATAATAAAATCAAAATCAAGTTCAAAAACAAGAAACAGTAAAGAAAACATATTTAGAGAACAGTGAATATCAGAAAAGAGTGAAGTAAGATAAATACCAATTACCCCAATTGAAAGAACTCAAATTGTTGATGAACAATTGATTAATCTGGGATTAAAAGATTGAAATTGCTTAAAGGAAATAAAACTAGGGTTCTTGAGAGTTTTCTAGGGCTTAAGGAGAAAAACTAATGAAAAAACTCTCCTCTTAAAAGTTAATTACAAAAGGGTATTTATACCCTCAAAAGATAGAAATTCGGAAATAGCTGAAATCGCGCAATCTTGAACATCGCCCGGTCAGACCGGGCAAACCTCGCCCGATCGGGCGGAGGAAGGCTGCGTAAAATACGACAGTTTTCCTTCTTTGCCCGGTCAGACCGGGCGAACCTCGCCCGGTCGGGCGCGCGTAACACGTTTCCAGAATTGCATCTTCATAACTTGACTTCTTCATCGCCCGGTCTGACCGGGCGAAGCCTGCCCGATCGGGCGCGCGTTGCACCGTTCAGAATTGGGCTTCTTCCTGTGAACTCTTCATTGCCCGGTCTGCCCGGGCAAGCCATGCCCGGTCGGGCACTCCACATAAATTGCAGTTCTTGGCTATCAACTCTTCCGAATCTACTAAAAACACGTCCAATTGCCTAGAAACGCTTCATATTCCTGAAAAGCTTACTAAAACAATCGAATACACTAAAGAAGAGATTGTTAGCAAGAAATGGCTCCGTAGAGCTCAAAACCATATAAAATTACTAAGTAAAACCGGGGAAAACCATTGTATAAAACACGTATATCAGTCGCACTGGCCTATCCATGTGGACTGCTAGACTAGGCTGGCTCAACATGAACCTAGGTGCACTATGGTGTGCTGGGCACATCATGCGTGCCAAGGGTGCCTAGGCGCTATCGCATCCCTAGCACCATGCCTAGGCGCCATCGCAGCCCTAGCATCATGCCTAGGTGCCATCGGAGCCCTAGTACCACGCACATCACCATCGCAGTGCTAGGCACATGCGTGTGTGCGTGTGCGTGTGCACTATCGCCCAGCACCAAGCCCAGCATGCGTGGCTCGATAGCAGCACGCATGCTAGGCTTTGCGTGAGGGGCTGGCTGGCATGGCTGTGCGTAGCAAGCGATTATGTGTGAGGCAATGCGTGGGAGTGCTAGGGCCAGCGCTAGCATAGCGTGCTAGCAGCGCCTAGCACTAGCACACACCAGCGCCAAGCATCGCCCAGCACCAGCACGCACTGCCTGGCTGGGGATGCAAGG